CCCCCATGCGGGTGGGGGGCCCAGGAAGTGACGTCAGGGCCCCACTCCTGGCGGCAGGGATGGGAGATGAAGGATGGAGGATGAGGGTTGTCATGGAGACACCCGGCTGGACCGGGAAGGGGGGGAGCAGGGGTGGGGTGGGGGGACGGGGGGGCTGGTGGTCCCTGCAGGGGCACACGAGTGGGGTGAAGCTCCCCAGGCACTAGTGAGGGGCTGCTGGTGCTGGGAGTGCTGGAGCCTGGCCTAGGGCTGGGGGGGTTGTGGGGGGCACCAAGGCCAGGGGCAGCCTGGCAGGGACCCCCCAGGGCCTCGTGTTGGGCTCCCCACCATGGCACAGGGCACCTCCAACCCACATCACGACATGGGGACCCTCTGGATTTCCTTACCATGGCAAAAAGCACCTCCAAACCCCCCATCATGACAGGGGGAGCCCCTGGATCTCCTCGCCATGGCACAGGGCACCTCCAGACCCCCTGAATTTCCTCACCGTGGCACAAGGACAGCTCCAGACCCCCCTGTCATGACATGGGGAACCCCTGGGTTTCCTTGCCGTGGCACAGGGCACCTCCAGACCCCCCTGTCATGACATGGGGACTCCCCGTTTCTCATCACCTTGGCACAGGGTAGCTCCAGACCCTGCTGCCATAACATAGGAACCCCCTGTTTCTTATCACCATGGCACAAGGCACCTCTAGACCCCCTGGATCTCCTCACCATAGCACAGGGCAGGTCCAGACCCCTCTGTCACGACATGTGGACCCCCTGGATCTCCTCACCATGGCACAGGGGCACCTCCAAACCCCGCTGTCACGCCATGGGGACCTCCAGGGCTCCTCGCCATGGCACAGGGCACCTCCACACCCCCTGAATTTCCTCACCACGGCTCAAGGCAGGTCCACACCCCTCTGTCACGACGAGGCACCTTCCACCCGCCGTCAGAGGGATCCCCAGCCAGCTGTGACCCACAGACAGGGGGGATCCCCACCGAGCCAACACCTGCCCCGTGCTGGGCTAGGCGGGCGCCGTGTCCTCGGCATCGCTGCGCTGGGAGCACGAGCGGCCGGGCGGAAGGGGAAACCATCACCGCCTGCGCACGGCCGGGGAGGAAGGGGCCTTTGTTCGCCCTTCCTGGCCACTTGCTTGGCGGGGAGCGGCGGCCGCCCCTCAGGGTCCCCGGGGACATGGGGACACGGGGGGTCAGCGAGCCACAGCCCAGCCCGCCGCCCTCTTCCCGCTGCCGGGAGCGGGAGCCAACGGCTGGAAAAGCGTTTTGCTCTGGCACTGGAACCCGGCCTGTGCCGGGTGGTGGGTGAGGGGTGGTGGGGGTTTGTCCCCTCCTGCCCTGTGACGCCCAAACCCTCGCCAGGTTCTCGGTGAAGACCCTCCTGGAGAAGTACACGGCGGATCCCATCGATGACTCCTCTGAGGAGTTCGTCAACTTCGCCGCCATCCTTGAGCAGATCCTCAGCCACCGCTTCAAAGGTAACGGGGGCGTCCCTGTCCCCACCCCTGTGCCCCATGGCGGGTGGGGATGCCCACAGTGGCACCAGGGAGTGTGTCCAGGCTCTGTCAGGGGCTTTGCCAGCACAGCAGCCCCTGACTGCAGCCCCTGGGTGCCCACAGGCCCCGTCAGCTGGTTCAGCTCTGATGGGCAGCGCGGGTTTTGGGATTACATCCGCCTGGCCTGCAGCAAGGTCCCCAACAACTGTGTCAGCAGCATCGAGAACATGGAGAACATCAGCACCTCCAGGGCCAAGGTCAGGAGGGTGCCAACCCCAGCCCTGTCCCCATTGCCATTCCTATTCTTGCCTCCTCTGCTTCCATTCACACCCTGTCCCTGGTACACGGACCCATTCCCTTTCTGTCTCCATCCATATCCTACCTCCATCCCATCATAATCCCATACCATCCTCAACTTTATCTTTTCTCATCCCCTTTCCATCCCCATCCCTGTCCCCATCCCATCCTGTCCCGTACTCATTCCCATCCCATCCCATCCCATCCCATTCCCTCTCTGCCCCCCATAGGACCTCAGGGGATCACTGGGGTGCAACAGGAGCTGTGGGTCCCTGTGGGACCGAAAAATGGGTCAAAAGCCACTCCCAGGTGGGAAACCCCCGTCTGCTGGTCCCCAGAGCACCAGGGGTGGGTGGGATTGTGGTGAGGAGCAGCTCTGCGGGGGGGACCCAATGGTAGCCCCCCCTTGCAGGGCCGGGCATGGATCCGCGTGGCGCTGATGGAGAAGCGCATGTCCGAGTACATCTCCACGGCCCTGCGGGACACACGGACCACCAGGTGAGCAGCCCACGGCCCCCCCGGCCACGGCCACGCCTGCACTGGACCCGGGGTGGGCTCCGTGTGCCGGGGTGGGTTTTGGGGTGCCACGCGTTTCCCCACAGGCGGTTTTACGACGACGGGGCCATCATGCTGCGGGAGGAGTCCACGGTGCTCACGGGGATGCTCATCGGGCTCAGCGCCATCGACTTCAGGTAGGGGCGGGTGACACGGTGGGACACAGGCCCTGACTGACCCCCCTGGGGTGCCCTGACCCTCTGCTCCTTCTCCCACTGCCACTGCTCAGCTTCTGCCTGAAGGGAGAGGTGATGGACGGTAAAACGCCCGTGGTCATCGACTACACGCCCTACCTGAAGTTCACACAGAGGTAAGAGTCAGCTCCCTGGTGCCCTCCCTGGGGTTCGGGGGCTTTTGGGATCCCTTGGTGGGTTTTGGGGGGTTTTAGGGTCTCCCCAGCCCTGTTTGGTCAGTTTGGGGGGGCCTGGGTGGTGCCTGGTGGTTTTTGGGGTGCAGCAGGACTCGCCTGCACCTGCAGATGTTGGAGGTCTGGGGGTTCCCTTGGTTGGATCAGAGGGGGGTCTCTTGGTGGGTTTTAGGGGACATGGAGGTTCCCCCACCCCCGGATCAGTTTGGGAAGGTCTTTGGGGGTCCCCGCTGTGTTTTGGGGAGTAGCAGAACCCACCTGCACCTACATATGTTGGGGGTCTGGGGGCTCCCTTGGTGGGTTTTTTGGGGTCTCTGGGTCCCTCGGTGGGTTTTGTCTCTGCCCTGGCACCCTGGTGGGTGTCCCTGACTGTGTGAGAGCCCTCACTGAGCCCCTGCACCCCCCAGCTACGACTACCTGAGCGAGGAGGAGGAGCGGGGCAGTGTGGAGAGCAGCACGAGCGAGGACAGCTCGCCTGAACACCCCTACCTGCCCCTGGTCACCGACGAGGACAGTTGGTACAACAAGTGGCGCAAGATGGAGCAGAAATTCCGCATCGTTTATGCCCAAAAGGTACCGGGAGCTGGGATGGGGCTGTCAAGGTATCAACCCCCCCGGGATGCTCCAGCCTGGAGCATCTGCCCCTGCATCCCCTCTCCCACAGCCTGGTGGTGTCCGCAGACCTTCACCCCACTGCTGTGGTGACCCAGTCCTCTCATTGTCACCCTGAGCGGCCCTGGGGACATGGTGGTGGCAGCGAGGCCACCAGTGGTGACAGTGGCCTCCCTCAGGGGTACCTGGAGGAGCTGGTGCGGCTGCGGGAGTCGCAGCTGAAGGACCTGGAGGCGGAGAACAAGCGGCTGAAGCTGCGGCTGGAGGAGGTGATGGTGCAGAACCAGCTGGAGAAGAGGGAGCTGGAGGGCGTCATCCTGGAGCTGCAGGAGCAGCTGTGAGTGGGGATGTGCTGCTGTTGCGGGGGCTTGGGCTGGGTGGGGGTCCCTGGAGACTGGGTGCCCCAGGGGCTGTGGGTGGTCCCCAGTGCCCCATTGATCCCGAGGGGCAGGGTGAGGGGTGGTCCCTGGCATCCCGTACACCCTGTGGGGTGGGATGGATGTGGCGTTCCCAGGGCCTGGGTGCCCCGTATTCCCTGTGGGACACAGCGGGTCCCTGGTATCCCATTTGCCCCACGGGATGTGATGGGTGGCAGGTCTCTGATGCCCAGGTGCTCCATATATCCCATAGGACATGGAGGGTCCCCAGTGTGCCCAGTCTGCCCTATGGAATGTGATGAGTCCTCAATACCCCATATTATCCATGGGATATGATGGGTGGAAGGTTCCCAATACCCAGGTGCCCCATATGGCCTGTGGGACATGGAGGGTCCCCAGTGTCCCCTCTCCCCCATGGGACATGGTGGGTCCCCAGTGCCTCATATATCCCGCGAGATATGGAGGGTCCCCAGTGTCCCTTATCCCCTGTGGAACATGGTGGGTTCCAAATACCTCATATATCCCACAAGACATGGAGGGTCCCCGGTGTCCCATGTGCCCCGTGGGACGCGGTGGGTCCCCAGTGCCCCACACATCTCGTGGGCCGTGTCGCCCGGCAGGTCCCCGGCACCGGTGGCCGTGCCGGGTGCTGAGCAGCCGCCTTTGCCGCAGGACGGGGCTGATCCCCTGCGAGAACCCGCAGCTGGCCCAGCTCTCCAAGGAGATGGTGACACCCCTGGTCAACCAGTGGCCCTCGCTGGGGACCCTCAACGGCAACGAGAGCGGCTCGGACAGCAAACTCTACAGGAGGTAACACCGTGCTGGGGGCAGAGCCCCCCCGACCCGTGCCCAGCACCCTGCCCTGCCCCGGTTGAGAGGGGACGGGGAGAAGGGCTGTGCCAGCCCCGGGGGGCTCAGCATCATCCCTCTGCAGGCACAGCTTCGTGAGCACCGACCAGCTCTCGGCCGAGAACAGCCTCAGCTCCGACTCCCAGCGCCTGGGAGAGGGCAAGCGCGAGGGCGAGCCCTGGGGGCCCTTGGGTAAGACACCCCCCACCCCCCAGCGGGTGCCCCACAGGGCTCAGCGTGTCCCCCCCCACACACCCAGGTGTCTGAACCCTCCCAACAGCCCCTTCCTTGTGGCAGGAGTGCTGTCCCAGCAGTGCAGGGACACCCAGGGTCCCTCCCGGAGGGGTGGTCCCTGTCCCCCCGCGGTGGCGAGGCCGCAGCCCCCCATGACACCCCTCTCTGCCCACAGGGAAGGACCCCACGCCCTCCATGCTGGGGCTCTGCGGCTCCCTGGCCTCCCTGCCCAGCTGCAAGTCCCTGGCCAGCCTCAAGTCCAACGAGTGCCTGGTGAGCGACAGCACGGAAGCCAGCCCGACCCGCAGCCCCAGCTGAGGCCCCCGGCCCCCTCACCGCCCCCCGGCCCGGCCGCCAGGCCCAGCGTCGCGGCACAGGACTGAGCTCGGCCCCCCTCGCCGCCCCGGGACCGACGAGGGACTCGCCAAACCCACCGGGGAGGCTGGGGACGGGCATCCCCCTCCCCATCTCGACATCCCACCCCCCGGCCGTGCCTCGGACCCCCAGCCTGGACCCTGGCTGGAGACATGGACCCGTTGGGATGGGGGATGCAGGACTGGGACCCAGGCGAGCTGGGGAGGGGGGGGATGAACTGTGCCATGGGGGGGACACTGGGAGCTACAGCTACTGGGGAGCAAGGGGGGGGTCAGGGCCAGGCCCTCTGCAGGGGTGAGGGTCTGGGCACAGCCCCGCTGTCCATCCTGCTCAGCCCTCAGTGCCCACCTGGCCTTCCCCAGCCCCTCTGCTTTGGGGGCTGCCTGTCCCCCACTTCGGGAGCCAGCTGTCCCTCCTTGCAGCAGCATCCCCACGATAGGGGTAGGACTCCCCTTTCCCCTCCCCTCCCCATCCTCTCCTGGGTTTTGGGTTGTTTTGGGTGATTTTGGTTTTTATTTCGGCCCCATCTGCCTGGTTGGAGCAAAAGGAAATCAATAAATGCAGCAAGCAGAGCCGGCCTGTCACCCCTCCCCCTGCTAGGAGAGGGGGGGACAGACCCTTTGTGCCCCCCACCATGAGGTCATGGCCCAAGCAGGGGTGCTGAGGAGGGTCCAGTGAGCCTCCTCCAGCCCCCCAGGCAGGGAGAGCACCTTTGGGACACAGCAGATCAGCAGGGATGGGGTATCCCCCTGCCCCAGCAGCAGTGGGGTGCTGCTGGGGGGAGCAGGGTGGTCCTGGGTCCCCTTACCCTCAGTAAAAGCCCAGCAAGGACCCGGTGGGTGACAGTACTGTGCCCACACAGCAGGGACGTGGCTGGCACCCCTGGGGTCTTTCACAGCCCCCAGCACACAGGGAGAGAAACCCTTCCACTATCAGACAAATTTTTCTTTTATTTAAGAAAATAAGGGGAATTCCCCCCATGAGTCCCAGGGAAGGTGGGGGCAGTGCCCGCAGAGCTGGGGCAGGCCCTTGCAGTGAAGGGACAGGTCAGGGGGTGCCACAGTGCCCCCCAGTCCCCTGGAGCAGCAGCGAGGTCTGTCCCCATGCAGGGTCTGTCCAACCCAGGGTCTGGCAGGGGACAGGGATACCCCCAGTGAGAGGAGAGGTCCGGAGGCAGGGAGAGGGTCCTGTCGTGTCCCCGTGCAGAGCAGGCAAGGGGAGGCTGTGCGTGAGTGATGGACCCCCGGGCAGAGCAGGGCTGGGGGGCCCGGGCAGGCAGGGAAGCCTCCGAGGTTTGGGGTTTGGTCCTCGCCTGAGCCCCAGCTCCACCTCCTGCCAGGCCAAGTCACCTGGGACATCCCATCCTTGCCAGTGTCCATGAATCCAGCAGCAGCAGCATCTGTCCAGCCCCAAGGGATGAGTGTGGGGGGCTCCATGTCCCCCCCAGTGTCACAGCAGCAGGCACAGATCTCCCCCAGAGTGGTTGGGACAGGGAGTGGGGCCCTGGCTCCGTGTGTGGGGAGGCAGAGCGCGGGATGAAGGCACTTGGGCTCTGCACAGCCGAGCGTGGATCCCCGCTCCCGGGACTCCTGGCCAGAGCAGGGCTGGCACTGTCCCCTGGGCACGGCCACACACAGCCCTGCCCCAGCCCTGCTCACAACCCCCGCAGCCGCCGCTCCTGGTTCAGCTTCTGGAAGAAGGTCTTGCCGAATTCGTAGGTGCTGATCATGATGGCGCAGGCAGGTGCCACCTTGATGACACGGGGCAGGAAGCCTGCAAGGACAGCGCTGTCAGCCCTGGGGTGACACCAGGGCACCTGGAACCCCAGCACAAGGCTGGGGCACGTCCTCACCTGCAAACAGCCCCCGGGTGCCAGACTCAGCACGGATCCGCTGCATGAGCAGCCAGGTGGAGGAAGGCTTGGAGGCCGAGACTGTGGGGAGAAGGGAACAGGTAAGGGTCTAGGGATGCCCATGAGGAGTCCTGGATGCCCCCCAGGCACCTGCCCGCAGGCCTGGCCCCTCACCTGGGTGCACCTCACTGTCTCCCAGCTCGATCTGCCGCTGGGTTTTGACCACGTCGAAGGGCAGCGTCAGCACTGCGGCCACCTGTGGGATTGGCACCGGGCAGTGAGCCTGGACCTGGTGACAGCTCTGCTGGTGACAGCTCTGCTGGTGACAGCTCTGCTGTCACCTCCCTGTGCCATCCCAGCCCGCCCCTCCCTCCCACAGGGACCATCCCCCACCTTGAGTGAGCCTCAGCACCCCAAACTCACCGTGCCAGAGATGGCCCCAGATGTGAAGCTGACCATGAACGTGGCCTCTTCCAGCCAGGCCTTCCTGCAGAGCCACGTCCTCACCAGCTCGTAGTTAAACCAGTACAGAGCTGGGGGGAGAGGAGACACCAGTGCTACAACTGGACACCCTGGACACACCAACCCCCCGGCCCTGGTTCCCTGCCACCTCCCAGTGCCACCACAGCCATACCTGAGAAGGGGACGTCCCGCAGCACGGTGGGTCCCCAGCCTCTCCAGAGGGACAGCCAGCCATCCTGGGCCACTGCTGACTGGATGCAGACGCCCAGCTCACGGTAGCTGAGCTGCCGGGACTGCATCTTGGTGCGGATCAGCTCCAAGGGGCTGATGACCGTCACGGCACCCACTGCAAGGAGGGGACACCGGGAATCAGCTCCGTCTGCTCCAGCGGCTGTCCCGGAGCCATCAGCACCATGCTGGGAGAGCCAGGTGCCCAAACTGGACACCAAGACCTGCCACGCTCTGCTGGCACCACAGGGTGGGCACAGGGAGACCCCCAGGGAGGAGGGGTACTCACGCCTGGCGAGGGCCCCGGCCAGCAAGGGGATGTGGGGGCCCCGACTTCCCGTCCGGGCGTGCAGGTAGTCCCGGAGCTGGTCATAGGTGGTGAAGTAAATGACGGTGGCTGGCACAGCCATGACCCTGTGAGGAGGAGGAGGAGGAGGGGTGTGAGGGGCACATGCACTTCCTGAGGGCCAGCAGGGGGCTTGGGACTGATGCCTGTGTGCCCAGGCAGGTGTTAGCACCCAGAATGCCCAAACTCACAGGGTGGGGGGCAAGCCGCTCCACAGGGACCTGATGCCCTCGTAGCGTGTGATCTTCACAAAGGCATCCTGGAGAGAGAGTAGAGCACCAGGGAGAGGAGTTAGAGGGACAAGATGGGCAAACACCTCCCCAGTAAACACCCCTCTGGGACAGGGAGGCCCCTGCCCACCCTGCTGTGCCCACAGCCCCTACCAGTGTGCCAGTGAAGTGGGTGGGGGCCTTGTACCAGGCGGTGCAGCCGTTGCCGTTCTGGCAGACATACAGGTGGTCCATGAGCCCATTGCAGTAGAGGAAACACTTCCCTGAGGCAGGAAGCAATGGCACCACTGTTAGACAGGAGACCCTTCCCCTCTGCCCCACACCCAGCACATCTGATTCCAAAACCTTCCTTCCAGAAAGAAGCCAAACCCTCAGTGCTTGAGCCCAGTGGGACCAGCCCCAGGCCAAGGCCAGGAGAGGGACAACCCTCTGGCCAGGGTCTGACCACAGCCAGACCCACAGGGTGGGGGACACACAGCCCCACGGCAGGGATGGGAGCACAGCAGGACTCACTGCCAGTGGCAGGAGGGGTTTTATGCCTTGGTTGGTCTTGGCTTTGCTACCGTGGGGACACCACGGCCCCTCCACTGTGCTCTCAAGCCAGGCAGAGGGACCCAGGCAGGGGAGATCCAAAGGGACTTTGATGTAGCAACAGTACAGAGAGGGGGAGCACAGAGAGCCAGGCCTGTTGCACAACAGACCCCTCAGCAGACCCCACGGATGTGGCACAGCCAGCCCCAAAGCAGGGCTGCAGGAACAGCCAGGGGAGCCCAAGCTGCCACCAGTGGAAAAGCAAACTGGGATCAAGGTTTGGGAAAGCGAAGCCACTGGCAGCAGGAGCTGCCTGGAGCCCCCAGGCGTACTCACATGTGGCCGGCTGAGCGCCCCAGGGCACTGCCTGTGCTGGCAACACTGAAACACACAATGGGGACACACTGAGCACTGGCACTGGGACGTGCCACCTCCCAGGGCTGGGGCACACACGTGCGCTGCAGCTCCGAGCCGGGCAGTGGGAGAACTCCGGGGGTGAAGGGGCTGGATGCCCCCACAGCCACTTCCCAAGCAGTCTCTGTTGTCACCAAACCAGTCCCTTGGGCCCAGCCTGCTGACCCCACAGGATGGGGGCAGATGGAGGGCAGAGCCCACGAGGAGCAGTGTGGAGACTGGAACAAAGGCAGTGGGGGAACAGCGAGCAGCTGGAGCAGGGTGAGCCCCTCTGCCCTGCTCCCCAGGGGCTGGGGGCTGCCAGGCACAGCGCTGACCCCCCTCGGCACAGGGTTGTGCAGGGGGAAGGACAGAGCCAAGCACGAACCCAGCTCCCCCAGCAGGGCCCCCCGAGCTCGTCAGGATGAGGGGCCCATGGTAACCTGCCACCTCGCAATGGCCCCAAGCTCTGGAGCTGAGACATCCCTGCCACTGGCTCTGCCAACCAAGCCGTCCCCATGGGCTGCTCGCCAGCTGGCTGGGGGGCTGGCTGGAGCCCCCCACCCTGCCCTGAGCAGGGTTACCTTTGGAGAACGGGGTCCTCTGGGCCTGCAGCCGGATCTTCACCACGTCCAGCGGTGTCACTGAAACAGCACCACCTTTTAGCCATGACTCCCCCCGTGCCAGCCCCCCCGCCCCGGCACCCACCCTGCGGTGCTCACCGAAGAGGGAGGTGAGGATGGCGCCTGTCCCCGAGGCCAGCATCTGCTGCAGTGGTGTGATGCCCACGCCAGGGCTCGGCGACGTCTTCTCAGCCATGGCACCGTCCCCCTGCAAGGCACGGCGGGGGATGCTCGAGGCCAGGGGGGTCCCTGGCTCCCCTGGGAGCCCCCCCAGCATCCCCACTCCAGTGGTGCGAGGTCAGTGTCCCACCTCCACCGTGCTATCAGTGCAGCACAGGGCAGGCGAGGGCCCCCCATAATCGTGGTGGCCCGAGGGGGGAACAGGGACTGGCTCCTGGGGCTGGCCCAGCCCCGATAACACCCCCTCGGCCCCACGCTGGCAGCAGGCCCAGCCTGGCTGGAGAGGTGGGGACAGTCCAGGCCAGCCTTCCATGTCCTTGGAGAGGGAGGACTCTCCCCTCCCTGAGCTTGGAAAATTAAGGACAGGAAGGAACAAAGTCCAAAGATCAGCCCTGGCTGGGAAGGCAGCAGAGCCTGTGCAGCAGAGCAGTGCACCCATGGGCGGGCACCAGGGGAGGGGGGATCCCCCTCATGAGCTTCCAGAAAGCTCCCCAAAAAGGGTTTGGGCATCCCAAACCTTCTGCCTGATTCCCCCGAGGTTTGGCAAGGCTGCAGCCCCTGGAGCTGATGTGCTGCCTGCAGGAAGCAGGGGATACTGCACCCTTCCCAGGGAGGAGGACACAGAGAATTGACCTCCAGCACGCTCAGCACCAACTGCTCCCTCCTGCCACAGCCCGGGGATGATCCTCACGCTGGGACAGGGCCGGGGCCACGGCAGGAGGGCTTC